CACAACTCCAAAGTAATAACTCGTGCAATGCTGGGTTTAAAAAAAAAAAAAAAAAGTCTTCCTGTCTCTTGAAAATTCTTTTACCAACTTAAACTGTACCGCAAAATACATTTTATATTTATATTTACACTCTCATCTAAACCATCATTTATTTTTAAATATTTATTTATGTATTTATTTGAGAGTGAGACAGAGAGGGTGAGGGAGCATGAGCGGCAGGGCAGGGGCGTGGAGAGCAGACTTCCTGCTGAGCAGGGAGCCTGACAGAGGGCTGGATCCCAGGACCCTGAGATCATGACCTGAGCCGAAGGCAGACACTTAGCCAACTGAGCCACCCAGGAGCCCCTTTCATCTAAGCCATTATTAAGCCACGGGCCACTACTACGGTAATGACATTCTAACCTGCCGCACACTCACGTGGCAATGTTACAGCTGAGAGACCAGGGGTGAGGCCATGCACCGTCCTGCAAAATACTCCGAAACCATTAAGTTACCACCCGAGACTGATGAGTCTCCAAACTCAAAGAGCCTTGCCTTCCAGTAAGGCGTGAGAACCTCAAGCCATCCAGTTCTATTTCTGTACCCGGGGCAGGGGCGGCAAACTTCTACAAAAGCTCAGATAGTAAATACTGTAGTCACTGTGGGCTACGGGGACGGGGTCACTGCCACAGCTCGACTGTGCGGAGGAAAGCAGCCATCGACAGCATGTGCGTGAACGAAAGGGGCTGGGTTCTAACACAACTTTATTCGTAAAAGCAGGCAGTGGGTCAGACCGGCCCCGGAGGTACAGTTGGGCAGCCCCCTCTTATGGGTGTGGGCCATATGGGCGTGTTAAACACTCGTGCACATCCAGACGTGGAAGTGGGTGTGTATCGACCTGCAGCAGCCCGCCCACACCCATGGCCTGGCAGCGTCACGGCGGCAGCCGGGGCCGTCGTCCGGAGCTCCGTGTTTAGAAGGGTGCTGGGCTCTGCTGTTTAATGCTCTGTGGTTGACATCTTGAAATCTGTAATGATTGATTACCTATTGGCATTTGTGCTTTGTCAGAGATGTCTGATGGGACAGTGGGACCCCCCCTTCATAGCTGTGGTCTTATCTCTTCACCGCCTCCCAGCAGCCCCGAGACTCAGACACTGTCCTCTGCAGCTGCCTCTTCTGGCCCAGACTTGGGGATCTGGCCGCCCTCTGCCTCGGGTAGAACCAGGTCATGGCAGTGTGAGGGCGGGGAGGGACGGGTTATGCTCTGCTGTTGCCCTTTGCCTCTGGCAGGAGCCCAGATGTGAGCCTGGGGAAGATTAGGTTGAGTGTGTCACCCCTGACAGACAGCTCAGGACACGGTGGTGACCATCCCTGCCTCCAATTGCCATCACTCCTGTGCACTCGGGAGATCCAGCACGGGGTCTCTGCCCTTCCTGATCTGGGTCCCACCAGGCCTGCGCTCCCCAACGAGCATGCCTGTGCGGGACATGGTCCGAAGTCAAACAGCAAATACTGGGCAAGAGGTAGAGAGAAAAGGGAAGGGAGGAAGAGGAAGAGAGAGAGACATTCTAGAAGAAAGGACAATGTTTTATATTGTAATATCTCTAGCAGCACTTTCTTCCTGCATTTTGGACACAGGCCCCTGCATTTTCCTTTTACACGATGCCCCGCTCACCCCTCTGTGCTCTGAAGAATCACTTTCTGAGATTCATGTACTAGAAGGGAAGGTGGCAAGGAAACTTCCACTTAGGAAGCACTATGTAAGAGGGCTTCCCGCAGCATTCCCCAACCTTAAACGTAAGGCTCGGAAGTTAATTACGAATTGTGGGTTTCCGACTCTAAAGGGATCTGTTGACTGGGGTTGCCACATGGGGTCACCTCCCTCACGCAGCTGCTGTAGGAGGAATTCTTATTTCTTCAGAACGACAACAAGTCACCTTGTATAAAGCATCGCTGACACGTATGTATGAAATTTAATAGGACACCAACAGATAATAAAGTTGAAATTTTGCTGGGATATCCCCTTATTCCCTGTTAAAGAAGATAAACCCATAACATTCTGACATACTAAACACACCTGCGTGTCGGGTTTGGATAAACCAGCTGTGAAAGGGGCACGACGGAGATGGTCAGAATAAGCCTGAGTATGGGCCGGGCATGATGAGATTTTAAAGAATTATTGTTAGTATTGTCAGGGGTGACAACGACATAGCGATTACAAAAAAAAAAAAATCTTTCAGAGACACAGGCTGAGGGGTTCACGGGTGAAATAACATCATGTCTGAGATCTGCCTCAAATGCTTCAGCAAAAGGAGCAACAGAAGAAGGAGACAGATGAACAGGCTGTGGAAGAGAGGATGAAGAAACAGACAGTGACAGAGAAGATGAAGGAGGAGAGAAAACATGTGAGCTAGAACAGGACTGGCAAAATGATTAACCTAGGTGATGGATGTGTGGGAACTCATTATGACATTTTTTTATATGTTTTTCAACTCCCATAATGGACTCCGTGTGTATGTGTGTGTGTGTGTACCTGTTGCCTACGGAAAAATTTCAAATAAAAACTAGGGCACAGATTTTTCATTCTCCTCCATACCAAATGTCTTTTTTTTTTTTTTTTTGTGCGAGAAGCGTTCTCTCAGACTGGCAGGAGCGCTCTCCGCTGAAGAGGTACAAAGGAGTTGATGGGAAGGATAATCTGCCCATGGGCTCCTGATACAATATAAAGAAGAAAAGGAGAAAGTGGGAGGAAGAGATCGCTATTGTTCCTCCCCTAACCCTTCCTTCTAATTATGCCAGAGTCAAGGCTCGGGTCACAAAGAAAATTATTTTGGTGGTCAACCATTTGCCCTGTTTTGTATACATCAAAAAAGCTCTTGTTCTTACCACATTCCAATCTCACAGTTTCCCACCTACTTTAGAGACGTATCGAGAAGCCAGATTAACAAAAATATGAACAAAATGACTATATTACAAGGAACGCTTTGTCTGTACACCAGGAGATGGCCTTCTTGTTGGGCTGAATTGCACGATGTGCACCACTTTAAAAGTTAAATACGCTGTCTATTACTCTAAGTATTTCCGATAAATGCTCAACATGCACAGCTTTGAGAAGTTGAATGTAAATTTCTCTCTTGAGTGCAGATGGTGGCCAAGCAAAGCAGCTCTTTGGTCTTAGAGACAGAAGGTCAGGTCATGGCTGAAAGACCAAAGAACAATCACTGCTTTGCTCCTCCAGATCATGCACGGAACGAGACACCACCACTTTCTTTTCTGAAGCTGCCTGTTCAGTACGAAATAGTTACAAAGAGCACCTCTAAGATTTCCCCACATTCTGTCCCAGAGAAAACGATAACAAGGACATCCCATCACAAACCCCTTGTAACCATTCCAAGGTTTTATTCCTACCCCCTTGTGACCTCCTAAGAAGGCACATCTTTATCTAAAAGCAACACTAGAAATCATTATGAAACTGCTAATGTTTGACTAGGAAGCAAGAAATGTTTACAAATGAAAAAGCCTTCTTTAAAAATCCTGCCACTTTGGCCTCCCTATCATTGTTGGGTAATTGTTGCAACGAGTTAGAGCTCTGAAAGACAGACATTACAAATACTTCTACACGTTATTATTATTATTCTGACCTTGTTTTGTCTCCCTAGAACATCATCCTGGAATTTTAAATAACTCAGATAGTCTTATTTTTTTTTTCTAATTAGTTCAAGTTGTTATGTTGGGCAGACATTATAGAATAATACAAAAGCATATAAGAATGCCTGGTGAGCATACCAAGATAACCTTTAAAGAAAAAAAAAAGTCATAATATGTCAGGAAAGGAAAGTTCTGTTTGGTTTGGTAGTGCTAGACCTTCCGTTGCTGAAGGAGCATTTTCCATTCCACTATCAGGCACGCCCCCAGCTGGATGCAACAAAACAGTTTCATTATCTGTATACGTTAATAATGAAAATTCTCAAAATTAAAACTCATAACACTCTGAATATAGTGGTACAAAAGCAGAATCTGATTCTGGTTGTTCAGATGTTAATTTAGTGCCAGGGATTTCAGCTACGACTTGAAAAACTTTTTCAAGTACTAAATTTCATTATCACTTTCATTTTTAATACTTTCCCCAATCGTCTTTACATCATCTGCATAGAGAGTTCACTGGGTTGAAAGGGAAAAGATGCTGGAAAGCATGGTAAAAGCTATGAACTAGAAATACATTTGAAAAAAAAAATACTTTAAAGTTTACCTACTTTTAATTGTGGTTTTAAAAAAAAAAATACTGAAACCGAGAACTCATTTTACTGAATAGATTTATCAATCTGCTTCCATTGAACATAAAGAATGAAAACCTTCAATGTTCTATACTGTAACACAAAAGTAGAAAACCCAAAGTGAGTCTATTAGAACTGCCTCTCTCAAAACTTTATCCATGTCATCAATTAAAATTGGAGTAGCTACACGATCTCAACAAAGATATAACATAAAACATCTGTTCAACTGAAATGGAAGTAAGCAGCATTTCCCCCTAACATTTCTAATTTCCCTGTATTTAAGGCTTCTTGAGCAAACGTATTCATGGTTATCTTAGTTAAAACTGGTTTCGCTCTGCCAACAATCAAGTTGATTGACATATTTACATATCAACTCATCTCATCTTACAAATTTTAAACTTTTTTCACTTAAAATTGGATTCAAGTTGGCATCTTTCAAGAACTTTATGTACGTATATTTTAGGTTCAAACTGTGCATTAGAACTTTTTTTTTTTTTTACTTTTGTAAGTAATAGATACACATATCCAAATGTATATTTATGACCTGTCAGATTGGGATTTTATATGCAGGCAGTTGTATTCTCACCATTTCATGTGAAAGGTGATAATTTTAGGCAAGTATAAATGAAATTCTTTTAATAGTATAAACGGGATTGTTCCATTAGTTAGAAGCAATATAATAGAAATAAATAACTTACATCTTTAATTATGTCTTTAATCGTTGTAGTTACACTTGTCATCTCTTACCTCATCTTTAATTTCAAGATCCCTTTTAGTTTTTGTTCTGTACTCTCTGTGCTCCTTCTCTGCCTCATCCTTCTCCATTTTGGTTTTATTCAACTGATAGCGCATTTCCCCACACACCTGTTAGATTGTAAAAACTAGATCAATAGCTGCGGGAATCTACCAGGCCATGCCTGCAATCAGATCTTTTGGTGCCCCCTAGAGGTCATACGCATAAAGTACAGTAGAACTTTCCTAAGCACGGCCTTTTCGGTTAGAATAGTCAATGTATTCTGTTAAGATGTGGAGGCAATATCAGGTATCAATGAATTTAACAATTTCAAATTATGATAAAGAAATGTATAACTAGGAAGTTTAAGTAATGTGCCCAATATTTTTTGTGTAAAATAATTTTCAATTGCATATTATCATCCAAAATGCATTATCGTCTCCATTTTATGTAGATAAAATCATTAATTAAAATATTAAGCTATGTGACTATCCATTCAAATTGTTATGGTTTAAATATACAGTCTATATAGTAAAGTTTTCCTTTAAAGATTTGATCAGTTAGGCTTTTATTTAAGGAAATTTATAAAGGAATTTTTCTCTCTGCTAAGAGACCGTATGGTATTAAGGTGTATAGTAGAACGCAGTAGTTACTGTAATCCTTGTAGACAATGTCAATCTTAAGAACTGTGTGATGTATTTAAGTTAATAAACACTGTCTGACAAACGGCACGGACAGGAACTATTTATAACTGTAGCATTCAACATAAAAGGAAAATACAACATTTAAGTGAAATGATTTTAACATATCATTAAATAATGAATACACATAGCATCTTAAAAGTGTCATGATTCATCCTTTATACAATTTTCTTTTTCAATCCAGGGCTTCTACAGACAGGTAAATATATTTGGAAAATCCAACCAGCAGATAAATCTAAACAAAGAAATTATGAGCCTTTGAGATAACTGAGAACCTGCAGAGAGATTAATTAACACACAAGTCTGCTAATTCAGTCTTTGATTTACAGATACAACTTTTTAAAAATCATGTATCATCCAAAGGTTATAGTTGCTTGAAACTTTTCAATTTGGGGATTTCTCCAAAACTGATTAGAACTTCAGAAATTAGTTTTTATCATTACTGAGGTATCAGAATCTTACAAAACCTTTATCTCCCATGTTCAAATAAAATATACTTTGAAAAATAAACAAATCTGTGTCTAAAGGTTATAGTGACAAGACAGAGGAAAGTAAGTTTTTCTCCCCAGTGCCCCTCAAAATGCTAGAAAAAGAATAAAATTACAAAAAAATTGATTTGAAATTCAGATGCCTTGAATGTATCAGAGCTGACCCCTCTCATTTCAGAAAAAAATAAAAATAGTAATTTACAAAAAGTTATTAATTTTAAAGATAAATAAAGTTTAAAATTAAGAATGACAGAAAAAAATTAAGGCCCCAATTTGCTTGCTTTCTTATTCTTATTCCAATTTATTTGATTTAAACACATGAATGAAATGAAAAAAACCCAATTGATAGTACCAAAAAAAAAAAAAAATTACCCAGTCATTGTGTTTCAAACCCAATACCAACACAAAATTATTGTTTATCATTATATGTCTAAGCATTCGGTTTTATTTAAAATTATTTCATCCCTTAATTTTATTTTTAAAGTTCCCTTGCCTTACTACTTTCACTTTAGCACCTGCTAAGTTAATCCATAACCCTTAAGTTTATCTAAAACAAACTGGCAAATTAAATTGAAGTAGAATGATATCTCAGGGTTGGAGTCACACAAGGAATGCTTCTAATGCTTGAGTCTTTCTGGAAGGTTCTAAAGACAGAGGGAGTATCTTTACTGTACATGTTCCAACAGAAAGTTCTCTCCCTACAATGGACTGGACCCTCTCACCACGAGCTTTCCCCTATAAATCTGGATTAACCACAGCCAGCCCTCGATATCCATTCCTTTTACTTCTACCCCTACCTTCACACAAACACATTTAGGATATTGGAACATATGGTATTTTAAAACTTTTATGTTAGCTAGCTTGAATTTTAGAAAGCAAATGGAGAATTACAGAAATTCAAGGGAAAAATAAGAAAATATAGGCTTTGTTTCTTCTGTATATAAATTAAAGGTAAGTTTAATTACTAAGTCATAAAGCAACAATGGCATTACAAATGTGTCAACATTTAGGAAGATATACTGACAAGTAAAATGCAGTATGAAAAGGTATGTATTTCAAACAAAATCATCTGTGTAAACTGGTAAAAAAAATCAATCGATTGAATTTATTACATCATGCATGCCTATATTTAGTTTATTACTTTTAAAGCAACTTATTGCTGAAATCTACATGAACTTTAGTGTTCCATAAATATGTACCTTAGAGTAACCAGCAAAGACTATTAAACATTTTAGTTTTTGGTTTACAAGCTTGTAATACCCATAGCGCAGACACCGTGATATTTTATTTTAAGATTTTATTTGACACTGATATTTTAAAGCATTAAAATAAGACACTTGGTGTTGGAGCTTTGATTTTAGAGTCCGGGTTGAAAAGGAATGGGAGGTGGAGAATTTTTTATGTTAAGCACATTCTTCATGTGGTAAATAAATCTCTTTTACTATCACTGTGGAGACCAAACCCATGCGATCTCTGGTGTTTAATATCTCTCCCGTCTAATTTAGAAACATAAGTTTTATCAAATATTCAATGATTAAAATAATGAAACTTGCTTACTGACAAGTCTCTCTCAGCCATTTAACCTTGAGTTCTTCCAGGACATTATTTGTGTCTAATTCATCTTCTGCATTTGCAGCACCCATCAGAGGGTCTATCAATAATAAGTAAATGCTGGCTTCATGATCATTACGCGGATCTTCACTATCTTAAATAACAAAACTTTTCCACTCCAAACTGCTTTCTGGGCTTCGTACATTAGGAAAAAATTAGAAACTAAAATCTCACTTTGTACCTTTGTGACATCCATTTCTTTGGAAGCAAGCTGGTTTTGAACTTCCTCAAGCTGATTAATAGCTGAAATCTTCTCTCTCGTAAGCTTTTCAACCTGGGCCTCCAGTTGGGCAATGTTTTGAGACAGGGACAACATCTGTAAGAGGAAATAGAAGTCCTAAACCATAACGCCATTTGACACAATAAATATATATATATTTTTAAAGATTTTATTTATTTATTTGACAGAGAGAGAGATCACAAGTAGGCAGAGCAGCAGGCAGAGAGTGGGGGTGGCGGGCAGGATCCCTGCTGAGCAGAGAGCCTGATACAGGTCTCGATCCCAGGACCCTGGGATCATGACCTGAGCCGAAAGCAGAGAATTAACCCACTGAGCCACCCAGGTGCCCCTGACACAATAAATATTAAGAACATTGATTACTCAGCCATAAAAAAGAATGAGAATTTGCCATGTGCAACAACATGGATGGACTTAGCATAATGCTAAGTGAAAGAAATCAGAGAAAGACAAAATATCATATGATTTCACTCATTTGGAGAATTTAAGAAACAAAACAAAGAAAAAAAAAAAGAGACAAAGAAAAAACACAGACTCTTAAGTACAGAGAACAAGCCTCCCCCCAGAGGGGAGGTTGGTGGGGGATGGGTGAAATAGATGAAGGGGATTCAGAGCACACTTATCTTGATGAGCACTGAGCAATGTATAGATCTGTTGAATCAGGGGTGCCTGGGAGGCTCAGTGGGTTGGGCCTCTGCCTTCGGCTCAGGTCATGATCTCAGGGTCCTGGGGTCCTGGGATTGAGGCCTGCATCGGGCTCTCTGCTCCGCAGGGAGCCTACTTCCCCCCTCTCTCTCTGCCTGCCTCTCTGCCTACTTGTGATCTCTCTCTCCCTCTGTCAAATAAATAAATAAAATCTTAAAAAAAAAAAAAAGAACCGTTGAATCATTATGTTGTACACCTGAGACTAATATACTACTATATAAAAAAAATCTTGAATTAATGGGAGTGTTGGCACGGCCACTGGGTTCGCTCTTAAGCCATTTCTCTGTGGACTGGGTATGCCCATTTTTCCACTTCCTCAACTCACCCATCCCCCACGACTTAAATATGTACTTCCTTTCCATTCATTCCCTGGTCTCTACCCTCATTTTGGGAAACACATGTAAGATGGTAAGACCAAAGTTTGGGTTGAAACTTTAAGGTGACAGACAATCTATACAAGTTGCAGAAGGGACTGATATGAATAAATTTCAGAGGCGATGTCAAGGAATCAGAGAAGTCTGGGGAGCCTGGGCAGCTCAGTTAGTTGGGCATCAGACTCTTGGTTTTGGCTCAGGTCATGATCTCAGGGTCCTGGTTCGAGCTCCACGTTGGGCTCCCACTCAGTAGGGAACATGCTTAAGATTCTCTCCTCTCCTTCTCCTTCTGCCCCTCCCCCAAAGCTCACACGTGTGCACACACTCTCTCTCTCAAATCAATAAATCTTAAAAATGATTAAATCTTACGGAAAAAAAAAAAAAGAAAGAAAGAAAGAAAAGAAATCGGGGAAGTCTTAAACCCTTCTCCCAAATGGAAGGATAAAAGGACCAGACGGGAGAGCTGGAGAGGCGGGTATCTTTAGAGAGAACTACTGGGGTTCTGTGCATCCTACTCCCCTCCTCCCAACACCAACAGAGGCGGCTTTGGCACTTCCTGAAAAACCCCACCCACCCTCCTGTTCCCTAGCTACCCCCATTCCTCTTCTTAGCCATCATTCCCTCTCCTTGGGAAGGTTTCTTCGACCTCTCCCTCCCAGCACAAAACAGGAGCCCCTTCCCACACTCAGGGCTGCTATTTGCTACTCTGTACTGGGACAGCCATGCCTGCTGTCAGCGGCTGGCATCCACTCGCACGGATTGCTGCCCACGCGGTGCTGGTGGTTTAATATCTTGACTCTCTCTGGATTCGCTGCCCCCACCACCTCCGTATATCCCCATCACACCACAACGTGCCACGCCTGTGTACTTCCCGCCCCGCGCACTTGTCTCACTGTTTAGTTGTTTCCTCCCTTAGACTACAAGTTCCTCAAGGGCATGTTCCTCAGGAGGCACAAGTGTTTGACGAATGAATGGATCATTGGAATAAACAGGTTGAATGAATGGATCATTGGAATAAACAGGTTTTCGGAGGAGCTATCCACTCTACGAATGTCAGCTTCTTACGTTTTCTTCCCAGGGCGAAAAATGCTTTCTAGATCTTAGATTTAACCTTTACAGCCTTTTATTTGCAATGATATTTTACTCTGCTACAGGAAGTCAAAATTTCCTAGACTCTTAATTTCTTGTTTGTATTGGCAGCTTTAAAAGTGAAGAAGAAATGCTACCTTCCTAGAGAGGGAAACGCAGAGATATCGATCAGTTTTTAATCTGTTAAACAAAAGCACATAACAAAACTGAAAGAGTATTTTAGGGGCGCCTGGGTGGCTCAGTTGGCTAAGCATCTCCCTTCAGCTGAGGTTGTGATCCCAGGGTCCGGGATTGAGCCCCACAATGGGCTCCTTGCTCAGCAGGGAGCCTGCTTTTCCCCCTCCCACTCCCCTTGATTGTGTTCCCTCTCTTGCTGTCAAATGAATAAATAAAATCTTTAAAAAACAAAACAAAACAAAATGGAAAGATTATTTTAAATTTACTGTAGTACACAGACATGGGTGTGAATTCAGTTTTACAACTGAAATCATTAATAACGCAACGTTTGTGATAAAAATCAAGATTGCCTTTGAATTATGTAACTAGTTCAAGTTGACACATATGAAAATAATGAGCCCTGGTAGTGATTTTCTAATTAAACGGTAGATATATTAATTACCTTTTCCGGGGATTGTGAAGAATTGTACATTTGACTTATGGCTGTTCACATGTCCTTCTTATCCTCAAAAGACTGGCTGAAAATCTAATTTGCACATAAAATTACTTTTACTAATACCAGGCTACAAACTATTCTAATGCATATTGCAATCTGAACCCCAAAATGAAAGTCAAAAGAAGTTAAACGCAACCAGTAAAGAGACTAACTTATATCTCTAATTTAAAAAATTCAAGTTCATGAGTATCCATATTATGAAGGTAATTATAGCTTTTCTGGAACCACACAACAGCAGTGAACTTCAATTACCAGCTACTAAAAATCATACTTACATGTGAAGATATATCTTATGGTAAACATATTAACATTGGTGGTTTCTGAAATAAATATGCAGACATTCACTTGCTAATTGTAAATTCCAAGTCAGTTTCTATTATAAGCAAGTAACAAATCACACTCCCTCCATCTGATTCCCTCCCTCTGCCACCCATCACTTCTTTCCTCTGCCCACTACCTGTCTGCTCCCTCCTGTCACCCACTTCCTGAGGCCTCCGCTCCTGTTGTCACACCTTCTTTTCCCCCACGCCCACCATCTGGAAGTCAGCATCACACTGCAGGAGCTTCTCCATCCACATCTGTTGCGGAGACAGAAGGAACACAGACAGCTGCAACACTGCTGGATGTCCAGGGCGTGACATCAGGTAAGTCCTTTAAACTTTGACAGGGGCAAGCAAGAGACAAGGACACCCAGGCTGGGAGAGCTTGATGGAAATCTTTAGGCTAAAGCAGTCCCTGGTGTCCTGAACATGGTATAAAGTGGTAGTCGCTACAGAACAGGTGCGAGAATGAAGGATGCTAGCCATGGACTGTTATCAAGGGAACCAACTGAAAAAATGTGTAGACCAGAGGGGGCGCTCACTAAGTATGATAAATGACAGATTGAACTAACAGACCCAGGGGCTCGGCACAGCCAAGGACCGTAACTGAAGACAACAAACAAACTCACAGCAAGTACTGTTCATGGGGGGAATGATTCAAAATCTGTCTAGGTAGAAGACATCTGCTCTCCTAGAGCTTCCCACACACGTGAAATTTAATGAGAACGAGTCAGGAGAAAGGAAAGAAAAATAATAAAAAGAGAGGAAGAAAGTCTAAAAGTCTCACAAGCCTTCCTGACTGCTCAGAAAGAGGGCGGGGGGTGCTTGCTTTAGCCCTAACTACAGAGCTCTCACAACATTAGGATGAATTGTTCAGTCTCCCGCTTCGATTAACGTCCTCTGCCAGGCCGAGTGATACACATTCTCTCTTTTCATCCCCTTGAAGGGCGAATTATATTGAATTAATTTTCAGTTGAAAAAAATGAGATTCAGAAAATTAAGGAATTGCCGAAGTTCATTGAAGCTAATGAATCAAAAGTAAAGCCAGGCTTTATATTCAAATCTGTCAGCTTTACTAATAGAGAGGCCCGAGAAATCTATCCCATCTGGCTGGCGGCTTCTCTTTCCCTGGAGTAAGAATAGTAATAGCCTCGAGTTAAAAGTTATTAAATGTCCACTCTAAACCAAGTATCTTAGGCCCTTCCGAAACATTCAGATTTAATCCTACCAATTCCTTGAGTAGATCAACTCCCTTACTTACTCCTCTGAAATCTGGAGAGGTCAAATGAATTATTCAAGGTCACAGAAAGCTCAACCTACATTCAACTGTAAATCCTTTGACCCCAAACCAAAGCCACCTGCTGCCATCTCCTGGTGATGGCCATGCCCAAGTGCAAGGACCACTCTGAGCTCTTCATTCAGACACTTTATTTAGGGCGGGACCTTGAGATTCAATGTCAGCCAAGGCTGGTCTTCGCTATGGGTCCCATTTTCTATCACACACACAACATGCAATACACAGTTACTGCCACTCCACGCCTCACACTCGGTTACAGCCAGCATTCCTCTCCCCGTGCTCTGCATTTCTGAAACCCACCTACACTCTAAAACTCAGTGAAATCACCATGTTCCTCACAAAATCTTCCATGATCTCTTGCAGACACAGACTGTCCTGACCCTCTGAACAAACATCTTAGTCATACCTTTCCGACGGCACAGGGACTTTTCCCTTCCCCTATACTCTATTCATTCACTCATTCGACAAATACATGTGGAGCACATTCTATGGGAGTGGGATATGCCAAGAAATGACGATATTAATGAACCACACATCCAGGGGACTCAGCGTAAACTGGGGGAGACAGACAATTCAGTAAGAATTTGCAGTTAGTTGAGTTATAGGAGCCCATAGGGGAGGCTCTCGATTCATCTCTGGGAGTAGGTGGTAACTAGAAGGACTCTGAAGGGTCGGTTGGAGAGGGCAAGGGGCCAAGCATGTGCAAAATCCTGAAATGAAAGCACAGCATGGCAGACGGGCATGTTTGTGCTGCGGAGAGTGCGGTAGGTCAGTATGGTGGCAATACAAGAAGAGAAGTGGAGGGAGATGACACTGGAAAGCCAAAAAGAGAAAAAGAAATACAGAATTTTCAAGTGATTCTAAAGGATCCTAAATTTTATCCAAGGGGTTGCAGGGAGACATGAAAGGATTTTAAAGCAAGAGACTGACATATTGACATGTTCATTTTAGAAAGATCATCCTGGCTGTGGCTTAGATGAGAGGGAGGTGAGACTGGAAGGAGGGGGGCTCAGGGCTATAGAAATCATCCAGGGTTGAGGTCCAGATAGCAGTGGGGTGGACAGACAGGGCAATGGGAAATTCCTAGGTGCATGAGTCACTAGAATTTGATGACCTAATGATGAGTAGGGTGAGGGAGGGAAAGGGCACAAGGATGTCAGCAAGATTTGGGGGTTGGAAACTGGATGAACGGCGGCTCCCCTGGGAGAGGGAGGACAGGAAGTGAAGCTGGTTTGGGAGCTCACTGGGGAGCTGGAGATTTAGGAATCGATTCCACATACATGAAACTGGGAGCAGCAGTAATGCTGAAGACCCCAGAATCTAAAGCTCTCTGCTACACTCTAGACCTTTCCATCAAGCTGCTTTCAGGATGTGTTTCCTTCCTTGCCTCAAAGGCACTTTAAACTCAGAGAAAATGGAAAGGCACACACCATCATTCTCTCAAATCAAGAATATAGATCCAAAGAAATCAAGGAAAGAGAATCTTTTAAAGGGAAAAAGAACTAAATGTATTCCCTAAAAGTAGCACAAGGAGGGCTTCTGTGAACATAATGAGAGGTGAAAGAATGGAGACGACACGTACAGACAGACCTTTTGAGAAATGTGCCCATCACGGGGAAGAGCATGGAGGGACATGGAATCACTGCGGTGGCTTCCAACCTTGGCTGCACATTGGAATCCCCTGAACAACTTTAACAATACTGACACCTGGACCCTACCCACGGCTGTTTACACATCTCAGTTTGGGATGCAGATGGACAGTAAGATTTCCGGAGCCTCTGTGGAGCCAAGACTGAGAACTACCGGATTAGAAGATTGTTTCTTTCAATGGATGAGAGAAACCTGAGCAGCTTCTCCTCATAAGGAAGACAATTCAGTGGGGGGTGGGGGGGGACAGAAATGCTATCCCTGAGGGGCACTGGGGTGGCTCAGTCGGTTGAGCACCCGACTCTTGCTTTTGGCTCAGGTCATGATCTCAGAGTCTTGGGATCCAGCCATGTGACAGGCTTTGCGCTAAGCTCAGAGTCTGCTTGTCCCTCTCCCTCCCCCTCAGCCTTACCCCCCTCTCAAATAAATAAATAAATAAAATCTTTACATTAAAAAAAAAAGAAGAAAAAGAAATGACCTCCCTGAGGTGCAGGAAGAGAATGGAATCCAGGGCAAAGGGAATGAATGAGCGGGCAGCTTCTCCTGTTCTGACAGGGTTAGTATCCTGGTAGAACTTTACTTGAAGGCACAAGTGAGAGGGAAGTGAAATAGGAGAAATGGTTGAAGTTTTCAGTTTTTTCGTTAGGTAAGTAAGGCTCTCTGCTGAGAATGAGGGGAACGCTGGTATAGTAGAGATTCTGAGGAGAATAAAAGTGATTTAAAATGGTCCTTGAAAATGGGCCCAAGATACCATCATTGCCACCTGGACTAGGATAATTACCTCCCACCTGATCTCCAGGCATTTATTCTGATTTTCCTTCCAATCTCTTGACAGATGGTGCTTCTCAAATATAAATGGCATCATGACGCTGCCCAATTTAAAGTTGTTCAATTAGTTTTCGGATAAAATTAAAAATCACGTGCACTTTAAGGCCATCCGTGCTTTGGTCCCTACATACTACCCCAGCCTCATCCCCCGCTACTGTCCCCACTCCCATGCTCCAGTCACCTGCACCTTCTTGAAATTCCGAAAAAGTCAGATGCTCTTTAGCTTCAGAGTCTGGGGGTGTCATTTCCCTGGCGTGAAGCTCTTCCCCTCGACTCTTCAGCCGACCGCTCCCACTCAACCCTTTTGAGTTTGTAAAATCTCTTCCATAGGACAGTCTCTCCTGACGGCCTGGACTCAGATGTGCCTGACTCACATTCTCTGGTCCCCTCTACTGTACTTCCCCTGCCTTTATTGCAGTAATCAGAGTTTGATTAAAAATTACGTATGGGGGCGCCTGGGTGGTTCAGTGGGTTAAAGCCTCTGCCTTTGGCTCAGGTCATGATCCCAGCGTCCTGGGATCGAGTCCTGCATCAGGCTCTCTGCTTAGCAGGGAGCCTGCTTCCTCCTCTCTCTCTGCCTGCCTCTCTGCCTACTTGAGGTCTCTGTCTGTCAAATAAATAAATAAAATCTTTAAGAAAAAAAATCACCTATGGAAGTGTTTAATGTCTTCCTCTCCCTCCTCTGGAAGCGGGACTGCACATTCCCGGGCCCTCCAGTCACCATCTGCTGAGCGGCAATAACGGGGGAGAGGACTGCATGGCGGGACTGCTGGGGAGCAGCGGGAGCACCGCGGACACCGGGTCATGACACACAGTGGCGCTGTCTGCAAGGCTCAGATCACCCGCCCCAGCCAGAGAGGCAGACGGTCAGACTGACGTAGAGCGAGGTTCTGACATGCGCCACTTTTCGAAAGGCTGAGACAAGGGAGTTTACAGTAAATGCCTCCAACACTCACGTGACTTAAAACCCCTGGACATAACTTGTGATCTTCCTCTTTATATAACCTCAGGAGTACACACTGGCCTTGCACATAGAGACACTCAGGAGCCGTGTGCTGAGCAACATGATCATGACACACCGGAGTATCACAATAACACAGCATTCGGGGGTACACACTGCGAGTCGCTTTAAAAACAAAACTAAACAAAACATGCAACGGCTGTTTTGGTGATTTTACGGACCCCACGTTGCTCAGTTTTTACTCTATCATAGCAACTTTAAAGATTTATTTATTTTAGAGAGAAAGTGAGATAGCGTGTGAGCTGGGTGAGGGAGGGGGGAGACGGAGAAAGAATCCCAAGCAGACCCCACACTGAGCACGGAGCCCACTTGGGGCTCCCTCTCATGACCCTGAGATCATGACCTGATCGAAACCAAGAGTCGGACACTCAACTGACTGAGCTACCCAGGTGCCCCCACTACAGCAAGTTTAAAGCTAGGTTTTAATTCCGTATCCCAGTTTATGACTCTTTTCCAAACGCTGCCCATTTCGTGTTCGCTGTTCCTTTTGCCTTTCTTCTCTTCCCTCCGTGTGTTCATCTGGTTATGGTCATTATTCATCACGCAGTTTGTCAGAACCTACTTTGTACAGTGTATATAATTACTTTTTCTTGGTTACTTGGTTTCTTACATGTGTTTCATCTTCTACAAGTCTAATTTGAGAGTGGGGGAATACGGTGGGGGAGTCATCTCTCCTGGATGTAGCCCAGGTTGAAATAAAGTCTGGGCACCTGCAGAGCACCTGCTTTTGTCTGACAAACATGAGAGAGGGAATCCAACAGAATGGTGGGATCAAAGTATAATCTTACAATTTCCTATCACGGAATCGAATTGCTTATTTTACTTGGAGAGGTCTGAGAATATAATTTTTCTTGAGAAATTGGTGGGAGAATGGAAAATTTCTATGAACTCTAGATTACAAGTAACCCACTACTTGCGGAGCGTTCATTCAAGAAGGCCAGGCTAGCGCATCGCCGGTGACATCACCAAAAACATTTCTGCCGCAGCAGGTAACAAAGTGAATCCACAAGTACCTTTGATCCCATGTCCTCCCGTTCTTTTATTATTTCTTTTCTCATTGTCTCCTTCTCAAAGGCCCTTTTCTCTTGCTGAGATGCGAGTTCTTTTTCCAGTCGCTCTGTCTGCCTCTCCAGTTCATTCTTCAACTGCTCACACTGGATTAAAGCCTGCCAGAGGAAGATGGGAGTGAAACAGGGCCTCTGACTTTGCAAAAAATGAGAGGAAAATGAGACAATTAAGCTTCAATTTTATTTAAAATCATTGCAACTCACTGTAAAGCCCATTAGAGTAATTTTATATTTATTTGTCAATACCACTCACAAAACTAAAACACTATTCAAATGTTACTTTTATTCACACATTTCAATTTTCACAATTAAGGCTATATTTACTAAGCAACTAAGAAAATTCAGGTTAATGAACCCTGATGAACACCACAGATGAATCCAAATTTTGAAAACAAGAAACAGAAAAATCAAGTGATCTAATATTTTTCAATTATATAGCATATTTATACTAAACGAAATATAGAGGTATCCAATTTAACTAACTTTTCATTTGCTTATGGTTAAAAATTAGTGAAATACTTCAAAACTTAAAATGAGAAGTACTTGTTATTATACACAGCATCTATTTTTAACATCATCAAATAATTAAGTTTCCTTAAATATAACTAGGATAAGATTTAGTTCACTCTCCTTATAAACATAACAAAAGTAAAAATTAGGTAATAATAAAAAATTAATAAAAAATAATAAAAAATAAAAAATTAGGTAGTAAAAAATAATTTAAAAATAGTAATAATAAAAAATTTAGATAAAGACTCAAAACAACATTTACTACCTAGTTTTATGAAATGAGAAGTGCCATCTTTCACTGCTGGTAACTTACAAGTCCACAGTTGTTCCTTAGTCTTAATTTCCCACTCTGAATTTCTAGAATTAAAAACTTTCTAACTTCCTTTTAACTACATCTACTATCTTTATGCAAAATACCCAATAGGAAATTAATTTCAAAATTCCAATTTAAAAAAACCCCAATAAATGTAAGGTGCTTGACACAGAACCTCTGAGTCATTCTATGGTGTCTTAGTCTGATTCCAGTGGCTTCTTATCCAATATCCGACATCCACCTCATTCAAACGCTGTGTTCCCCTGAATTGGAAACCCAAGTAACCCAAGTCTCACATGACTTACAAACTGTGTAAGTACATATCAAGTTATATATTTGATAGTCACATCTGTTGTGGATGATGAGGGAAGTGGTCTTGGTAACGTATGCATAGCTTTGCTTCCCTCTGGTGAAAGCTATAATAAATACAGACAATAAAATATCTAGGGTACGTGAATTTGCTTCTCTTCACCTGGAAGCCATTAAACCCTAATTTACTTCAAATTCTTCTGGAAAGTTTCTACACTCCTAGACATGAAATTGGTGGGTAAAACTCAATTGTCTCAGATTAACTGACAAGCACATCCAGTGACTGAGAAATGATTCTCCTACAGACTTGGTCCCAAGTTCAATTCTAGTTGAGAATGTCCATAAAATAAAATTCTCCATTAGATTTTAAAAGAAATGGAGGGCGCCTGGGTGGCTCAGTGGGTTGGGGCTTCTGCCTTCGGCTCAGGTCATGATCTCAGGGTCCTGGGATCGAGCCCCACATGGGGCTCTCCGCTCGGTGGGGAGCCTGCTTCCCCCTCTCTCTCTGCCTGCCTCTCTGCCTACTTATGATCTCTCTCTGTCAAATAAATAAAAAAAAAAATCTTTTAAATAAATAAATAAATAAATAAAAGAAGTGGAAAAGTGGAGTTTTCCTATAATTTAAGCCCTCGGAGCGGGATAGATTATGAATTTCAGATTTTTTTGCCTCAGAACACAATTGCTGTTGTGAAAAATACTTTACATGAACCTAATAAAAATGTTCATAACTTTCACAGATCTAATACCACTGGCATGACAAAATGAAATGACTATTGACTACAAACCAATATTTCCAATCAGAAGCTTCTTCACTGAACAAAAACTCAGGAGTCAACAGTATTAAGCACAGAACAGCGGAAGGGACTGCGGAAGATCAAAGAGCGGGCTGACATGAAGAACCAAAGAACCAATTCCAAGAAGTCAGTCAGTTTGGGAACCAGGAACAGTAAATGATCCTGACAGCATAAGAGGCCTAATCTCAGGGTAAGAGGATATAAATGAAAAGTATAACGTACAAGGCAAGAAGCTGTAAATCACTTAAAACCATTGCTGAAGGCTTCTCCCTCTTAGGGCTCGCCACCGTGAAGAGGTAATGATGAGGAGATAAGTAAAAGTAAGGGCTTTTATTTGTCTTGATTTTAATATATATGCCAGGTCCCAGTGAAGAAATTATGAAGGATCAGTAACACTTGGATTTACAGAAGCAATTTAATCTTTCTAAAGATAGCTCTCTTATCGTGGCTCTCACATACTAGGTCAAGGAGAACTAAACAAATGTTTATACAGTCTTCCCATTATAACTTTACCTTTAAAAAAAAAAAGAATTTATTTATTGGAGAGAGAATGCACACAAGAGGGCACAAGCAGGGGGAGGGACAGAGGGAGAGGGAGAAGGAGGCTCCCTGCTGAGCAGGGAGCCCAAGGAGGACTCGGGGCTCCATCTCAGGACCTCGGGATCACAACAGGAGCTGAAGGCAGATGCTTAACTGACTGAGCCACCTGGTGCCCCAAAGCTTCATCTTTTCATTCCAGGGCTCCCTCTCCCAGTTTCCAGAAGCCCAGCTGATCCTGTGCTCCCTGATTCTGCTCATCTAACCATTCCATAAGGGCATAACTGAATTCTCACAAGCGAGGTCAGTAAATGGTCAGTTACAGCTAGCTGACAGATCTTCAGAGAGGCCCAAGTTGATATGGGGACTGCAGCTTCCATTTCTTCCAGAGGTTCCCCAGGGGTGGCTTCCTTCTCTCCCTGAGCACAGCCCCTTTTTGATGGAAATGGCTGTAGCTCCAGGAGTTGAGGGAATTACACTATTGACCCGCCCAGTCGACTCAATCCTCCAGAGACCTTTTCTCTTCTGGGAAATTTCTTTATTTGTGGTTATTCTACGTTGGCCACATTAACATATTTTTCAAAACATAATTTATTGGACTTGATATTCCCAGCCCTAGTTTTATTAAACCAACAAGTATGGGTTACTGTCTTAATGGGGTCAAAACACTTTCTAAAACAAATTTCTATCTAGTCAACTCCATTGTTTAAAATAGGAAGCCTATTTTAGGACATATGAAAATTCTTCCCAAGTGCTAGGGTTAGGTTTCTAGAAATCCTTGTGACCGAAGAATTCACAATTCAGGAATTAAAGATCTTCTGAGAAATAACAAAATTCACACTTAAGAAAATTAAATTTAAGGGATGCCTGGATGTCTCAGTCGGTTAAGCGTCTGCCTTCGGCTCAGTTCGTGATCCCAGGGTCCTGGAATCGAGCCCTGAATCAGGCTCCCTGCTCAACAGGGAGTATGCTTCTCCCTCTCCCTCTCCCTCTGCCTGCTGCTCCCCTGCTTGTGCTCTCTGTCTCTTAGATAAAAAAAATCTTTAAAAAAATTAAATATAAAATTCACGTAAAAATTTATGAAATTGTTTTCATTTTTGTGAACTATATAGCCCACAAAACTAAAATGATTGTCAATATATTTTAAGCACGTAACTTACAAATAATGACAACTATTGATTTTTTAATTTATAGACTCTTCCTTGCTAGAAACTTATCAGTCTGTCCCTATCTCCCATTTTCAAGATGTTAATAACTTGTTTCTGTTTCGTGGCAGATAATGTACACATCAAGAAGTGATGGGGCACCTGGGTAGCTCATAAGCATCTGGCTCTTGATTTTGCCTGAGGTCATGACATCAGTTCATGACCTCCCCACTGAGTGTGGAGCTTGCTTAAGATTCTTTCCTTTCTTTCTGCCGTTTCCTGCCCCCAAACCCACTTGCACAACCATTTTCTCTCTCTCTCAAAAAAAAAAAAAAAAAAAAAAAAAAAAAAAAAAAAAAAAAAAAAAAAAAAAAAAAGTGCATTATATTCTCTGCCTGGGCTTGCAATCAAATGACCAAATGTTTTGATCTTTTCACTTTAGGTTTCTAATTTCCGCCTTTCTGATTCTGTAGTCTAAGCAAAGAATAATTTCGAAAGGAAAAAAAAAGGTTTTAGGGAAATTTAGTGATTCGTTCTTGTGTTTTGTGGTTTTTTGTTTTGTTTTGTTTTGTTTTGTTTTAAATCTTGCCTTGGAGGGTTATCTCATTATAGATACACTCATGATAACTTCATACCAAAACCAGCAATTTCCCTTTCAATAGAAGCAAACAGGTGTGAGGCCTGGTTAACCGTTTCATGTTGTAGCTTTACCAAGGCATCACTGCAGAACCTCTGCTTCCCCCACCCCATTTATTCGGAGGATATTTTTTTTCTCTCTTTTAAGAAATGATTGCTGGTTGTAATGGCTTGCAATTTTCACAGTAAATCAAAACCATTTATTAATCACTCACCATGTGCCAGATACTCTGCTAAATGGCTTACATGGATTACTTTAGTTAACACTCTTACTAAATTTTAAGTGGATCTTATCACTCAGCAGAAGAAACAGCAGCTCTGAGACATTAAGTATCTGCCCGGGATCACAGACCTAAACAGTGGCAGAGCAGAGATTTGAGCCAGATTTGAGCTGAATCAACGCATGGCATTACAGCTTTCTCATGTTATAGATTTATTTCCTTATAAAATCCTCGGGTGTTTTCACTGCCATCGTCAATTTAAGTATAGAACTTAGTTAATTCCTCTGGTGCTCTTACTTAGCCTGCAATGTGCAAATGGGAACACTAGGTGGCAACAAATATCAAGGAACTCATTTCATCAGCTCAAGGATCAAGTAGTTGGTTTCAAAATTAAAATACGGATTCCATTTTACTTTTTTACTACTTTCACTAAGCAAAATTCCTATTATGTTTCAACATACGTAAGATAAATCATAATAGATGTGCATTGTATTTTGTAAACTGCACAGAAATCCGTTCTTGCATTATTACTAATTCAAGGAAAAATGCTTTAGATTTGCAATACACAATGGCTTCTTTTGTTCTTAACTGTTAGATATTTAAAAGCACTAATTACAAAAATCCATATTCATAA